AAAAAAAAAAAAAAAAAAAGGAAAAATAGGAAAGTACAGTGGACCCTTGACTTACAAACTCAAGTTGGGCTGGTTGTAACTCAAGTTGGTTGTTAAGTCAATACAGCTAAGATCTAGATCTTTACCTGGGTATATGCTATAGCTTACAAGAGGCAGATGAATCTTCCATTAACCTAATTAACCCAAGTTGTTCATATGTCAGGCTGGTCATAACTCAAGGGTCTACCATACAGAAAAACAAAACAATAATTGCTCCACCTAAATACACTCTCTCTATATATTTTAAAGGCTATTTTTCTTTTTTTTTTTTTTGTACCCGGGAATGAACTTGGGTCCTTGCACTTGCAGGGCAGGCAGTGGAACCACCGAGCTAAATCCCCAGTCCTAAAGGCTATTTTTCTGGTTTCATTTTTTCCTAGAAATTGCATTTTAAAAATTTTAGTCCTGCCAGGTGTGGTGGTGCACACCTGTAATCCCAGCACTTGGGAGGCAGAGGCAGGAGGATCGCTGTAAGTTCGAGGCCAGGCTGGGCTACATAGCAAGACCCTGTCTCAAAATGAAACAAAAACAAAACAAAAATTTTAGTCTTATCTTAGCCTCTTCACAATAAGCTGTGTACATGAACTCTGACAGCACAGAGATAAAAAGGGTAAGTGTAACCTACCCGTCCCCACGTCCTCTCACATGAAAGGACGCTTGCAGGCTTTTCTGGAGGCATTTTTGGGCATGGCACACAGAATTGCTGATTAGAGACAGACATATTTATATTTTTGACAGAAAAAAGGAGAAAACAATTTCATATGAATATTTTAATTATCACACAAAGCAGAACAAAGTTGTATATAAACATATACAACTATTCACAAATGTCCAATCACATATACCAAATTTGAAAGGGAATACACAGAAAAATATGTATTAGAATATTAGGGATGTTTCTTTTTTCTTTTTGAGACAGGGTCTCACTATGTAGTCCATGCTGGCCTTGAACTCACTATGTAGCCAGGCTGTTCTCAGACTCATGGTGATCCTCCTGCCTCAGCCTCCCAAGTGCTGGGATTATAGTTATGTGCTACCGTACGAGGCTTCTTTTTCATTTTGTAATATACTCAACAAAACATTACAGTAGGGAGGATTATTTTAGTGCTAGAGAATCTTATATAAATGAATTTGTTTAAGAGCTTCTTTGTCAATATCCTTTTGTGGGTAGACATCATAGTTCAGTGGTACCTCTTCAACCCAGGAGGATAACTGTATATTAGTCTAGGAGAAAAAAAAAAGAATTATAAACAAAAATGAAACCTGCAGAATGATCCTGTTTTCTGGAATCTTATGAAATCATCACTAAGTGACTGAACACAACAGATTTTTATTACAATGAATAGGACTAAGTCTACATGGTGCCACATGAATAATTTTTTGTAAATGATTGTTCCATGGATTTAGAGATCATACTGTGATTTAATGTGATTTCTGAACTTGAAAGAATGTAATTTTTTGTTGTTTTGTTTTCTGAGACAGGGTCTCGCTATGTAGGTCAGCCTGGCCTTGAACTCACCATGTTGCCCAGACTGGCCTAGAGTTCATGGCAATCCTTCTGCCTTAGCCTTCCAAGTGCTTGGATTATAGGTGTGTGCCACCATGCCTAGCTAAGAATATACTTATTTCACTAGAAACAGTTTAGTCATTATCATTAGGCTTAAAGAACAAGAAACCAGTGATGAGAATACAGAGAAAAACCGTCACAGTAAGGGGGTGGGGCAATCTCCCTCCATAGCATTCACTTGGCCCTTCCCCTCAGATTGCAAACTTGAGCCTTACCTGTTGAAAGAAGCTTTCTTAAATAGAAAGCAATATAATTAATAAGAGTTTATATATAATGGATTTTACATAAGTATCAATTTCTAATGGTTATTTGGAGAAATTTATGTATTTAGGATGAAAGTTATTATTTTGGTAAATGAAAAATCAGTAAATTATTTTGATATATATAGAAATTATGGGCCACAGATTTAGCTCAGTGGCACTATGTCTCCCTCACAAGTGCAAGGTCCTGAGTTGGATCTACAGTATGGAAAAAAAAACAACGCACAAATTAGAGGCCATACGTTTTAAAAGGTCTTTTTGTTCAGCAGCACTGAGGATCAGAACCAGGGGCACTCTATGGAGCTACGTCCCCAGCCCTTTTTATTTTTTATTTCAAGCCAGGGTCACACTAAATGGCCCAGCCTGGGTCTGGACTTTTGATCCTCCTGTGTTAGCCTCCTGAGTAACCATGCTTGACTTAAAAGGTATGTTTATATGAGTATGTAAAATTATGGCAGGATCATACCACTCAAAGGGCAGAAATCTCTCAGGGAAGAAATGAAGAGGCTATCTGAGGAGACTAACACCTTTCCTCTGGATTATTTTCTTCTTATAACAAGCATGAGTTACTTTTATAATTTGGATGATTGCTAAAATTTTTAAAAAAGTATTATTGATGATTGCTTTTATTTAACATTTTTTGCCATTTTAAAATTTGTGTATATTGGTTATACAGATTAATGGATTTTCTTTTTGGATTGTTTGGTTTTATAAAGGAAGAAATAATATATAAAAAAAAGTCTACTATAAAAATAATAATAGTACTCTGTATTAAGAAAGGGCTGGGGGGCTGGGGATTTAGCTCAGTGGTTTCACTGCCTGCTGTGCAAGCGGCAAGGACCCGAGTTCGATATCCGGTACCTAAAAAAAAAGAAAGGGCTGGGGATTTAGCTCAGTGGTTCCACTGCCTGCCCCACAAGTGCAAGGGCCGGAGTTCGATCCCTGGTACCAAAAAAACAACAAAAAAAGAAATACAACAGTGACTTTCATTTGGGGATCTCAAAGAGCTTCACAAATACTAATTAACCTTCATATAAGGATAAGTTGTTAGGTTGAACTTTATTATTAAATAACATCCTTCTTATATATGGAGAAGCTGGGGGACAAAGAAACTGGTTTAAGATTCCTAAGTGACTTAGAGGTCAAGTTGCACATAGTACGTAGTCTCGCAATCTGCTCATTTGATTCCAGAAGCCTGAAACAACCATGTTCCTTTCGTTCTAAGAAACATAGTTATTATATGGGTGTTCTAAACCTCTTAAAAATAGTCAATAATGTTTGTTAACCTAAAACTATGACTTCACAGAAAAACTGGGTAGAGAAGCAAGGGAATTTATAACCATATAAGTATTACAATTTCAGAGCTCTTCAGGCCAGGAAATAAACCACAGACCAATGCTTAAGCAATAAGGTCTTGCTATTCTGTCACTTGTCACTATTTCCAGACAGAACATTTCTAGAATATTTACTGTAATAGCTATGAGAAAAAAAACAGGAGAAAAGTTTTGACAACAAAAATGCTGGAGAATTGGCTGACATACCTGAAGACCTGAGAGAGAGTCTTCAAGACTTGGTACTGTCACTAGCAATGATCCCGGCTTCCTTAGGTTACAGCTGATATACTCCCAGGTGCTACAACACATAAAAACTGTTATGTCAAAACAACTGCAGGATATTACTCCATACCTGATAGAAAGGACAAAATCCAGAATGACCAAATGCTGGGAAAGCTGTGGAGCAGCAAGCACTCTCATTCATTGCACATACGAATGAAAAAATATACAGCCACTTTGGAAGAGTTTAGTGGTTCCTTATAAAACTAAATATAGTCTTACCAAACAATCCAGCAGTTGTGCTCCCTGTATCTATCCAAAGAGTTGAAAACATATGTTTACACAAGAATCTGCACATGAATGTTTACAGCAGCTTTCTCCTAACTGTCAAAACTGAGAAGCTAAGCTGCTAAGCTACAGTACTTCCAGATGATGGTGAAGTGTTCCACACTTGAAAGAAATGAGCTGTAAGCCATGAAGACACAGGGGAAACTCAAACATGTATCATTACGTGAAACAAACCATTCTGAAAAGGTAGTATACTCCATGATTCTAACTACGACATCCTGGAAATGGCAAAACTGTGGAGATGGTAAAAAGATCCGGGGGGAAAAAAGGGTGGGCACAGGGGGTTTTTAGTGGAAAAACTACATGTGATGTAGTATTAATGGTGGATGCACGCCATCATACATTTGTCCAAATCTACAGGCTGTGCACCAAGAGTGAACTCTAAAATATGGACTTTGGGGGAATATGGTGTGTCATAGACTCACGCATTTGTAATAAATGGATCACTCTGGTGGGAATGTTGGTAATGGAGGAGACTATGCATTTATAGGGGTAGAGCATATTTACAGGAACTCTCTGTCCTTTTCAATTTTCCTGTGAACCTAAAACTGCACTAGAAAAATAGCAGTCATTATCAACAACAACAAAGACAAACACAAAACTCAAAACCTGAATCCAAAGCACACCTGCATCAATACTTCTATCACCTAGGTTAAAAAAAAGCATAGCAAAACAAAAAACCTGCTATATGAAATTTTACCAGACACAAATTTTTTTAAAAAAGAAAGAAAATGCAGCACAGGGGATACCTAGAAATGTAGTTGGGCAAAAATGTTTGCCCACAGGAAACAGTCCTGAAGCAACACACTTTGAGTTGACAAATCCTCTAGTTCCTGAAGGGGTGTTGGCAAAATTGTGGTCACAGTACTGAGGAGATTAACAAGATGGGATTCAGGTTACTAATAGTACTGTAAGTCCACAAGTCGGTTTTTAGAACCAATGTACAAGTCAAAGCTGGATTAGCAGTTAAAGCCCCTTAAATTCTTTTTTTTTTTTTTTTTTGGTACTGGGGAATCAAACTTGGGTCCTTGCGCTTGCTCAGCAGGCAGCAAAACCACTGAGCTAAATCCCAGGCCCAAGCCCCTTAAATTCTTTATGAAGTGTATAGAATTGTTTCTACAGACCAGAACAGGGTTCAGATTGCCAGGGGCTGAGGCTGCAGAAGTCCTAGAAAAATAAAGGGCAGAGAGGCCAGAAACTGAAGACTAAGAGTATGAGTGTAATATGTAGATCGGATCTCTCATATTCAATGTGGCTGTGGGAACTTCCCTGGGAGGACTTCCAGGATAAATGGCAATTGGGAATGTCAGTGGATTGGTCAACTTTAAAGCAGGATGGAGGCCACATGCATGTGTGTGTGCCAGAGGGCAGGTTCTGTGCCCCTTTAGTGTGGATGTAAACTGGATTCCGCACTGTACATGTGTCCGAATGGGACCCCCACTACTGGGAGGCAAGGATGAGCCATGCAGAAGAGGGCTGGTGGCAGGAGTGTTATTTGCACTTATTTTAGTTATAGCAATGGTCAGTCAGTAGGCCTAGTAAGCCCTGGAGTTTGTTAACAAACTGATAAAATGTTCTTTTACTTAGGCTGGGTATAAAGTTGGGTAGCAGTTCAATGTCACTGTGTTTTTTTTTTCTTTAGGTACTGGGGATCAAACTCGGGATCTTGTGCTTGTGAGGCAGGTGGCAGAACCACTGAGCTAAATCCCTGGCCCCAATGTCATTGTGTTTTGACTAGAGGCACTTTGTTCTCCTAAAAATGACATGCTGTACAAGATTATTTAATACAAGAAGAAGCCAAGTATATTGGCATAAGTCTTTTTCTCGTGAGCTGTCACTGTAGTGGTTGTATCTATTTTACCGATACAATGCACACAGATTTTTTTTTTCAATGTGGAGAATTGGACATGCTAGGCAGCACTCTACCACTCGGTTCCACTTCCAGCCCTTTTTGTATGTTATTTTGAGACAGATCTCACAAAATTGCCAAGGCTGGCCTTAAACTCTTAATCCTCTTAACTTAGCCTCCCAAGAAGTTGTTATTACAGGCATTTGCCACTGTGCCTGGCTGCAACTCTTAGTTTAAAAGGTACCTCTAGCTGGGTGCAGTGGTACATGTTTATACCAGCTACTCAGAGGCTGAGGCAGGAGGATCACAAATTCAAGGCTAGCCCAGGAAATTTAGTGAGACTCTGTCTCAAAATACAAAAAAGGCTGGGGCTAGAGCTCAGTGATTGAGTGCTTGCTTAGCATGCATGAGGCCCTGGGTTCAATCACCAGTATAAAAAAACCAAACTAAAACAAAAAACAAACAAAAACAACTAAAAATTGTTCTATAAATCTGAGATGTTACCCCAAAATGAGACTGACCTTAAAGCTTGAGCCTTTCCTGGGTTTTTCTCTTACATACTAACTCGTATGGTAATATCATTCCACTTAACCTTAGACTCCAGTTAAGAATACAAGCTGGGTGTGGCACCATACACCTGTAATCCCAGAACTGAGAGGCTGAGGTAGGAGGACTGCTGTGAATCTGAGGCCAGCCTGGGCTACACAGTGAGTCAAAGTCAGCAGGTCAAGGCAACAACAACAACAACGACAACAAAATCAAACCAAAACAAAACAAAAAATATCACAAATCTTTGGAATTAATATGCTGCACCATCTATTCTTTCACTTGTTACAAAACTGAATTATAGATAAATGATCAATTTTCTCAGAATGATTCTGGTATAATGCTTTACTATATCTTCTATCTAAACTTACTTCTATATTGTCATTCACAAAGAAAATAATTAAACCCAAGAGACTATAACATTTCTATATTTAGAATTTGTTGTACTACACTAATTTAGGAGATGTGACTAAATTATATCATGTGTTAAATACTTACTAAGTGAGTCACACAGAGTTTAGGAGTGAATGTACCAAGCAAGTTTTTTGAAACAACCTAAATATGCAGTATTTCCTGTGACAAGTTCACCAATAGCTTTTTATCTTTCCTCACCTTTCAGAACCTTTCTATAATGAATCTCCAAAGAACTTAAGGTATTCTTCCCTTTCAACTTCTTGTAAAACGTAAGACTTCATTCTTCAACAATTATGCAATATTTTGGCCACTTGTTACTAACTTTAAAAGGCAGGGCTTCCATGCCTCCTCACAGTAGCCCACCTTATATATATATTTTTTTTCCTCCCCTTTTGACTCAGACCATAGTCTGCAGAGCCATTCTTCCTCTACCCTTCTGTTTTTTCCTACTTTTTTTTTTTGGTACCAGGGATCGAACTCAGGACCTTGCCCTTTCGCGGCAGGAGCCAGAACCACTAAGCTAAATCCTCGGCCCTTTCCTACCTTTAATAAATGTGAAACTTTGCCACTGTTAAAAAAAAAAAGGCACAAAAGTTTTGTTTGTTGTTGTGGGTTTTTTGGGGTTTTTTTTTGGTACCAGGGATCAAACTCGGGACCTTGCAATTGTGAGGCAGGTGATAGAACCTCTGAGCTAAATCCCCGGCCCTGTTTCTTGTTTTTTTGGTTTCTGGTACTGGGGATCGAACTCGGGTCCTTGTGCTTGTGAGGCAGGCAGCATAACCACTGAGCTAAATCCCCAGCCCTGTTTCTTGTTTTTTACAGGGTCTCTTGGGCCCTGGAACTCACTATGTAGCACAGGCTGGCCTTGAACATGTGGTGATCCTCCTGCCTCAGCCTCTCTGAATGCTGGGATTAAGACATATGCCACCATGCCTGGTTAATCATATTTTATCCACTGAAAATTACGTTTAAAGGAGGTACTATGATGAAAACAACTTTGCTCATGTTGTGCTGCTGGTATTTAGGATGTGACTAAAACATATCAACCATTCTCACTAAGCTATGAGTATATAATTAGCTTCCTACTGAACTAGCTTCCTTTTAAAATTGTTTGAATTGTTAATTTCATAGTGACCTTAATCTAGTAGTAAGTGGTGTGTGTCTGTGTGTGTATGTGCATGTGTCTGTATGAGGGGCGAGAGAGAGAGAGAGACAGAAAACGTATAGAAGGTGAAGAGTTGAAGTAGTAGAATAAGGAGGTTTGGGTATTCAAGGCTCCACTTTGATTTATAATTTTGTGCAGTGGAAACCTTACTTACTGATTCACTTATGCAAACATATTAGTGTAATTCCCTTTCATACCTATGGAAAAGGGCTTTCCTGAATCTACAGTACTCATAAATTACTATGATACATTAGAAAGCAGCAATCCTAACTGGCCAGAGAAACAGTATCTCAGAATATATTACAGGAATTTTCTAATTAGAATGATCCTATAGGTCCTGATGGGCTACAAAGCATCAATTACGGCAGGGGAGTCAGAAAAGTAATCATAGGGTTTTTAGTTTTTCCACTATATGAAGAGTGGAATAAATGTCAGGAAGCTGCCACAACTACTACTAAAACTATTACTACTACTACTACTGCTATTACTGATACTGCTACTATTTTTAGTTTTTTGAGCCAAGGTCTCGCTACATAGTTCAGGCTGCCCTTGAACTCACTATGTAGCCCAAGCAGGCCTTGAATTCACTGTGATTCTCCTGCCACAGTCTTCCAAGTGATAGTATTACAGGCATGCGGCACCACGCCCAATGTTATGGCTTATGTCTAGATGTCCCCTAAAGCCTCATGCAGTCATAGGTGGGTATTTTTTTTTTTTGGTACCAGGGATCAAACTCAGGACCTTGTACTTTTGAGGCTGGCAGCGGAACCACTGAGCTAAATCTCTGGCCCAGGTGGGACTTTTTTAGAGGTGGTTGGATCTAGAATGTACGATGCTGGATTAAGGGTGTGTGAGTACTAAATTAGTCCACTGATTAATTGGCATAGTTCTGAGTGTGGATAATAACAGGAAGGCCCACCCTGGGTATGAGTGCTGCTTGCCCTAAGGGTGTGCACCCTGGATATAATATAAGGGACAGAAAGAAGGCTGCTGTTGTTGCTTGCTTCCTTGCTACTTAGCTGCCTTCTGCCTGCCATGAACTGTTTCTCCTCTGGGATGTCCCTCTGCCAAGCCACCCTGCCTTGGAGAAGCCAACTATGAACTGAAAACTCTACAAACTGTGAGTTAAATAAACCTCTCCCCCTTTAACTTTGGGTGTCACGTATTTTGTCTCAACAAGAAAAGTAAATAAGACATCCAGTTAGGGAGCTACTATTATTAAGAATATTTTAAATTTGATAATCAGCTTTCGAGGTTAACATTCCTATATTCTATTTTAAATTTATTTATAGGCCTTAGTTAATTTCCATTATTTTGTGATACAATGGCAATATGTTATTTCACAGAAAAGAAAACTGAGGTAGAAAAGAATAAGTACAAAGAACCAGAACTGCTTTCTAATTGTATCCATGGCTGCTAAGCAAGTGCTTGGGTCATGGGATCATTTTATATCTGTCAAAAAATTAGATTTTACAAAGTTAGACAAAGTTTGTTTTTATTTTGTCCAATCTTTTTTTTTTTTTTTTTTTTGTACCAGGGATTGAACTCAGGACCTTGAGCTTTTGAGGCTGGCAGTGGAACCACTGAGCTAAATCCCTGGCAGTTTGTATTTTGTCATGCATATATATAATATATAATATATAATATATAAAGTATATTTTCTTATTAAAATAATTACCTCACAGTTGAGGTTATTTTTTAAAAGTTTAATACGAAAACATTTCTACTATGATAATATCTTTTCAAACCTTGTCGGGTATATTTTAGTAATGGATTATTTCTTACATACCTGGCCTGTTCTGTCTCCTTAAGAAAATATTCAAAGACATTATTCATTATAACAACATCAGCATTGTACAGAAGTGAACCCTGGGTACAGATGTCTGCATGGACCACCTACAGAGGAATGAGTTCATGTAAGAGAACAAGGGCATTGTATCACACTTGGCAAAAGAAATCCTGTTGGTTTATTGTTGATACAAAGCATTACGGGAGGTTAACCCTTGGGTACATAATATATAGCAAAACACAAACACTTATGAAGATTTGTTTTAGATAGAATTATTTATTTAGTCATATTTGCGCTCTCTTCACTCTTGAGTTCAAATTTTTTCCACTATAACTGCATCACAAGTTGTAAGAGTTAAAAAGAATGTGGGTTCAAACTATGACTCTATCACCAACCAGGTTTGTGCTCTTACGTGATCAGTATTTTTATAAATAAAATGGAATATATTTCCTGATTCACAGACTCAAATGGGAACATATAAAAATCACAGAAGCAGATATACAAGTTATAAAAGGTTATAACTTATAAAATGTTCATATACTATGTTAACTGGTCTGACTCTTCCTCTAAAATTCAGTTGAATGCATTATCTGTCCAAAAAAGTAAGACAGTTAAAAAAAAACCCTATAAAACTATATACCTCAAAAATTAAGACTCAAGACTTGCAGACCATAGGTAAGAGAGTATGAGTATGAGGACACATTTATTTGCTTAAGAGCAAAAGAACAGAGGCTCGTTCTTTGGAGAGGGTGAAACAGAAAGAGTCTGGACCAGGAGACCAGGCCACGCTAAAGGAAAGGGAAATGTCCTGAAAACAAGAGAATGAGGCAAATGCACACAAGATGCAGACAGCCCAACTCTCTAACCCTTTTCCTCTCCCACTCAGTTCCAGGACACTGCTTGCCATTCCACTAAGAGCCTAGAAGGTTTTCTCCAGCCCCAGAGGGGCATCTTACTGATCACATAAGATTGCTCAAAGTGAAACCAAGGGTAACCATCCTCGCTCAGGGGCTCCAAACTTTAATCAGCTTTCTTGTTACCCTGTCTCAAGTATGAACAGACAAATAAGAATTTTTAAACCACACAACAAAATCAAATATAAAAGCAAAGACTGAGCCTTTCAATGCTAACTGAATCTCAACTGATATTATCAAAAACAATCCTAGAATCCCTAGAGCCCCTCAAATCCAATGTTTGTCTGTAGCTTTAAGGAAGGAAACTGTTAATGTTTCCAGTAGTCATAAAATGGCACTGCCTGTTGGCATAGGGTCACTGACAGCAACGGAAGCCACAAGCCAGAAATGTGTGGCTCAATGTGTATCTGCATATTGTTTTTTTAAAAGGGATAAAATTTTTTAAAAATGTAAAT